GAGAAGCCCACACCCACGACTGCATGAGGCTTTGGGTGGTGGAGACATCTCAACACAAGACATAGTAGCTCCTTTCTCCTGAGTTTGAAGATATTTCATTTTCTATAGAATGATGCTTGTCTCTGTCTCTGTCTCTGTCTCTGTCTCTCTGTCTCTCTCTCTGTCTCTGTCTGTCTGTCTCTCTGTCTCTCTCTGAGGGAGAGATCAAACAATTCTAGTTTTAACTTGATGTCTATATTTCAGACTTCTGTTAACCATTATCTATGTGTTATCTAATTATCTTTTATAATATTATTAAACTTACACTTGCCTCTGGAAAAATTGAAAGAATAAAGTTTTGAAAAATTTAGTTCACTATAATAATTCTAAAATCTTCTAGGGTAGCACTGTCATTTAGCATGCAGTATATAGTCGTGTTGTAGACTAAGTCAAATTCATGATGAGTAGTTGAATTAAGATTCTTTTTTTCTCTAATGTAAGTATATTTTCAGGTGTATGGTCTATAAAGAATTTAACAGGTTGCCTCGTTTCAGCAACTTTAGGACATAAAATCAGTGAGACAGCAAGGCTAAGTGTGCCTTCTAACTGACCCTGAGATGCACAGCAATGAGTGAGGAGGCAGTTTCACAAAGGGGTGGACTGTCACAGCTGGGGATGTAGAAAACACAGAGTCACATGTGGCTGTAACACAGTGGGCAGAGAAGCAGCAGACATGAATAAGGGTGGAGGAAGTCAGGTTGTGCAGGGTTTTGTCCACTTCTATACACCATGAAAAGAAAAGCATACACAAGGTGTGATGCAGAGAAATGCCCTGAGCTAACTCTTACTCGGGGGAATCACATTCACTGTGCTGAGAACAAACAGAAAGAATGAATGGAAGCAGTAATACTGCATTGTCATCATCATTTCAGCAAAGAACTGCAGTGTTTCGACTGGGGTGTAACCCTGGAAGAGGAGAGAGCTGGCGGGCATCTGAATATAAGCTGAAAGTACAGCTCTTACGATGCCCTGGGCAGACAGTCTCAAGAGCAGGGGGTTAACAGAGGAGGTGGTGATGACAAGTTTTCCTGATCCACGGAAGCATGGACTTGCCATTAGCTAAAACGGAAGCAAACATTTCATGGTTTCCAAAGATAATTATTGATATTTCTAATTCATGCCCAATGGAACTATTGAATATGCAGAGAGATAAATGAAACTGGAGTCAAAAAAATACACATGGGCTACAAACAGAGTTTCCAGCATAGATGGTATTATCTATTTCAAAATCAAGTAAGATTTCAGAAAGATGGACCTAGGTGTCTGAATATGTTTTCAAAACTGAGATGATGTGTATATGAATGAAGTTATTACTAGAACACAGTTATTTGCCTCATGTGCTTTTCAGGCAAACTACTATCCCAGAGATAACCAACATCCCACCTTTTAACATCATAGATGTCCTTCCTGTTTTATCACATTCACTGATTTTGCCTGCCTGCTTTCCTTCAGTCTCACACTTATCTTGGATAGCCAGGCCAGTGTGGCCCATTCATTCTTAATAGTCTTTTAGAGACAAATGTAACAGTTGATTCTGCCACTATTTCTGATGGGCATTTGATGATACCCAGTTGTCTTAGTAGCTGGTATATTTCTAAGAAGTTATGGAAGCAGGGAGATCTGTTTCAGATGTGTAAGGGATAAATGATGGAGCAAAGTAAAACGGAGTAGGGATAAAAGGAATGGAAAAAAGATTGAAGAAAACAGGTTTTGCAAGTAGGAAATGGACAAAATGAGTAAAGAATTAAGATGTATTATGCACATGTACCAGCCCACCACACTAAAGATAATCATTATGTATGAGCAAAATTAGAAATTATGCATTTTTCCAGATTATCTAGTCTGCTGATATATAATGGTCCATAGCACTCTCATAATCCTTTAGTTTCTGTGGTTTTACTTTTTAATCTTAAGAAAGTTTCCATCTGTTTCTAGCTTTCTAAATTTTGTCTCTAGTTTTTGATTTTGTCAAATGTTTTGTGCTATGTCTGTTGAGCTAATCATATTTGTGTCTTTAGTTTCTAATGTCAGTTATACAGCTTTATATTTTTAATATTAAAGCACCATTTTTATAGACATCACTTATGCACAATGTAGTTACAGTTTTATGCATGACTAGAGTGGCTTCACTAAACTTTTATTTATCATTTTCATATCTATGCTAAGAGGAGGTGTGCTCTGTTCTTTTCCTTTCTCATAATGTCCTTTTCCATATTTAATGTCAAGGTTATACAGGCTTTGAAAAACATACTGGATGTTCTCTACTTTTACATTCTTGGGGAAGAATTTGTAAGAATTCAAATGTGGATTTTAAGAATTCATGACAGAATCTAGCCAAATGGGAAGGTCCTTGTGCAGCGATTTTAAATGGCATAAAATCTTTAATAGAGAATTACTAAGATTTTCCTTTTTTGTGTCAGATTTTGATATGATATAGGGTATATCATTTGGAAATTTCAGTGATATTTAGAATTTATTTGTAATATGGGAATAATCTAATCAATACTATAGTTACAAAAATTTCTTGGTGAGATTTAGCATTCGAGCTTCATTTTAAAAATTATAGTACCGATGCTGCTGAAGCAAAGAGTGCCTTAAAAATTATAGAGACATATAGTATAAGACATTGCTTATATTTATTTAAAAATGTAAACCTTTGCAAACATGCCTACTGTAAATATCATAACTCACATGGGTGTTTTAACATATTAAAGATAATATGTAATATTACCTTATCACATTTATTCAATATGCTACTAAAACTCTTAAAACATAAAATTGGGTATAAGTCCGAAATAAATTCCCAAGGATTTAAAGGTAGAAAAATGATGTTTCTGTCTATGATCATTAAATTTTGTGATGACACACATTCAAAAAACATAAAAATTGTTATTAGCATTAATTATTGAATGTAGAAGTTCTGTGGAAATATTATTACCTAAAATTCACAAAATTTATATTTCTGTACATTGGTAGTAAACAGAAAATAGATCATTTTTAATGTATTATTTCTAACAGAACATATTAATAATTAAGAAACTAATTTACCAATGTGTGCACAAATTCTTGGAAAAAATTTAAATGTAAAATATTCTTTGAATAAATGTAAAGATATATCATGTTTATTGGGAAGAATATTGAGAAACTTATTGTAGACATAACCAGTTCAAAATTAATTTGTGTTACAAGTTCTTGATCTTTTAATTTGCATGAATTTTAAAGTCTTCAAAATCATTTAAAATCTCAGCATTTTGGGGCATTGCATCTCTTTTTTTTTTCCCCTTTCCCTTTTTATGGGTACCAGGGATTGAACTCACGACTGCCTGCTTGCAAGACAGGCACTTATGCCACTGAGCTAAATCCCCGGCATTGCATCTCTTAATATGTAACAAAATAGAGAACCTAGAAATAAACCACACTTACAGCTATGTGATTGTTTTCCAAAATACAACACTGGGAAAGACATTCTTTCCAAGAAATGGTGCTGGGAAACCGGATGTCCACATATAGAAGAATGAAACTACCCTCTACGTAGCTACCTATAAATGTCAAATTTTAGATGGATTAAAAACATTAGTGTAAAATTGAAAAAGGGAGAAAACTGGGAAATACTCTGTGACGTTGTTCTGACCAAGGACTTTTGGACAAATGCATAAAAGCACAGGAAGCAAAAGAAAAAAAAGACAAATAGAATTATGTCCAGTTACAACCTTGCTAACAACAAAGGAAACAATGGAAAGAAGAGACAACCTAGAATGTAGGAAAAATAATTGTAAACTATTCATCTCACAGAAAGTTAATATCCAGAATCTATAAAGAATCCCAAATTCTCAGCAGCAAAATCCCAAAGAATTCACTGAAAAAAGAGGAGAGAATATGAACAGGTATTTTTAGAATGAAACTACATAAATGACTTAAGTATGAAAACAAAATGACAGGAATCTTAAAGGAAATGCAAACTGAAACCAGAATGAGATTATTGCAACAAGAAAAGATAAAATGGATAAACGCTAGCAAAGATGTGGAGAAAGTGGAACTCACACATTGTTAACACATGTCAATTAACCAACATGAAAAACCTTTATGGAGTTTCCTCAAAAAATTAAAAGTAAATTGACTATATGACTCAGCAATACCACTGCTGGATACACATCCGAAGGAAATTAAATCAGCTGATCAAAGCTGTCTTCGTTTTTATGTTTGCCTTGCACTACCCACAACTACCAAGATATTGCACCAACTGGCCTGCCCAGTTACGGGTAAGAGAATGGTACACACGATGACACAGTATTGAGGCACACAAATGATGAAATCCTATCAATTGTGGCCTCATCTGTGGGCAGATAGGGCACAATCTTTAGTAAGACAACCCAGGCACAGCAAGGCGAATAGTCATGATTTCCTCTGGGTGGAATCTAAAAAAGCTTAGTTCACAGGAGTAGAAAGCAAAGAAGTGCTACGAACAACCGCTGGAGCATGAAGGAGATGGGAGAGAAGGGAAGGACAGTGCTTATCAGATATAAAGTCACATTTTTTTTTTTTTTTGTACTGAGAATTGAACTCAAGACCTTGCATTGCCAAGCACGTGTTTTGTCGCTGAGCTGTATCCCTGGTCCCTAAGACAAAGCAATCTAAAATGAATTTTTAGCATGTTGTGAATCACAGAAATTACCCCGATTTCAATCTCCAATGACTTTGTTTTAGTTGAAGTGTCCAAAGAGAATGCATTTTGTAGCCACGATTTCATAAAGAAGTTTGAATATTTTTTACAATGTTTTAGGACAGCTGCTATATAGCTCTTTGATACTATTTTTGGAACTGCTGATTTACATAGTTGAACTCCTGCCCTAGTTACTTTTTACTCCTTGCAGGGACAAAACACCTGATACCCAAAGTAAAGGGAGGAAAAGTTTGTTTCTTATAGTTCTTGGAGGTTTCAGTCCCTACTCAGTTGGCTCCGAGGCTGGGTGGCAGGACTGAATGCAGTTCATGGTGGCTGCAAACAGCAAGGCAGGAAACTGCAAGAGAGAGAGGCAGCCTCCTTCCCACCGTTACATCACCTCCTGGCTCCACCCCTGGGCGGGTGTAGCACTCACACCGGGCTTCCCGTTTTTTTGTTTTTTTTGTTTTTTTTTTTTTTTTTTGTCTTTTTCATTTTTTTTATCGGTACCGGGGATCGAACTCACGACCACCTGCTTGCAAGGCAGGTGCTTATGCCGATGAGCTAAACCCCCAGCCCCTTCCTGCTCTTAATGTCCAGGTTAACAAACTCACTCATCAGACAGCGAGCGCTCACGTCACGTCTAAGCGGAACTTCAATGATCACTGAGTTTGTCCTGGTTTCAAAAGCAAGAAAATCAGTCAGCAGCGTCTCCGGCCGCTACTGCCTGGCTGCCGTTTCCTCCTCTCCTGCAGCTTTACCACGTTCTTTCAGAACAGAACAGAGGTGTGAGCATCTATAGCACAGCGTCTACAGGCTTTAAAAGGTTGGACAGATATTCGGGAAATTAACTCGAGGTTAATATAATTCCACCTGGTCAGTAGCTCTGTGATTGAATATTTGGGGCGAAATTCTGCTTTCTCTGGATGACGCAGAAACACAGCTGGGACCCAGGCGCTCTCCCAGGACCGCCCCTACCTGGCCCTGGCTCTCTCCCATCACTGCACCCTCCGTGTCTGCAGCCCCTTGAGAAAGCTGTGAAGGACGGGTCACCCGGAAGGGCCTGGGAACGGAGCTCCCACCTCTCCTGAGGACTTTTCTTTCCGCTTGTATGCATGCACGGGTGTATGCATTTATTTACTCAGAGCTGACTGGAAGCATCAAGGAGGCCACGTCTTCCATCACACTGGGGAAAATACTTGGCTGACCGTTGGGCTCTGCTGCTGGCTTAGGAATTGTCTGAAGGACTCACCTGGGGACCAAGGGACTAAAGACTGCCTTTTGCTGAAGAGCTCACCTGCACCAAAAGCACACAGCGCCTCCTAACGGCTAAGGTCAGCACTGCAACCCAAGGGTTCTTTGAATCCGTGGTCACCAGTTTGTGGGTTCTCCCACAGGGAAGCCTTCATTGTACGCGAGTGTGGCCTAAGGCTGTGGCATAAAGATGATGGCTCTGTGGGTCCGCATACCTGACATTTACCTCTGCCCTGCTATTTCTGGGCACACAACTGTAGGGAAACCACTTAATCACTATGTACTTACGTTTTCTGTGTAACCTAGCAGCATTTTCTTCTCCAGGGTTCTAGGGATTGGATTGGGTAAAATAACCTAGACAATCATCTCGGTCCACAAATGTGTTTCCAAACTTCCCGTCTGCAACATCTGACGAGTTCATAGCCAAGTGTTCTGTTAGAAGGGAAAGGGCCCAGACTCCAGGTAAGTGACTGGCTCACGCCCCCAGCCCCCCATCAGCGCGGCACCCTGGGGAGCACAGGGGACAAGTTCCGGGCCTTGGAGGGGTGGGGCAGGCCTACTCAGGTTTGTACAGGACTTTTGTGATAGCTTTTCCACATACAAAAGCCTTCTACCTACGCCCTGAGCCTGGCACAGGCCTCATACCCCAGGCCAGCACCCTGTAACTGGGCCTTGGTTCTTTACTTCCCTGAAGCTGACCCTGTGAAAGAGCCATCTGAACATGAATGCTTTGCCGGGCCTAAGGCCACGCCCCTCCCCCCGCGGTGACCACTTCCAGCGCCAAGCAAGCATGTCAAGCTGGGACATAGCCAGACATGGTGTGACGTGGCATGACCTGTGATGTGGCGGCCTGTGCAGCCTGCGGGGTTGGGAAGTCACTTGAGGCACACTGCCTGCCTGCTAAACAAGGAGTGCTAGTGCGGGTGCTGGTGTGAGTGTGAAGCCAAGGTAAGGGATGGCTTGCCTGCCGCTCAGCTAATCTTGGGAGAGTCTCAGGGTGGGTTAGGGGTTGCTGTATAAAATGCTTTCCCATTCTGTGGCTTTTCTTTTTCACTCCATTGGTGTTTTATTTTGAGGTGCAAAACCTTGCAATAGTTTAAAATGCCAGTTGATTCTTTGAAGTGTTTCCTGTGCAGTTTGCATTTTGTTCATGTATTTTCTGCCTACACCTATGTCTCCAAGATTTCTACCTACCTAGATTTCCAGTAGATTTAGTGTTTGTATTTTAATATGTAGGTCTTTGCTCCATTTTGAATTTAGTTTAGTGCACGGCGATAGGCATGGGTATAGTATCAGTTGTTGGCTTGTGAAAAGCCAGTTTTTCCAACACCATCTATTAAAGAGGCTATCTGTTTTCCGGTCGACATGTTTAGCCCTTTATCAAATATTAGGTCACTGAGTGCCTTTGTAGTTGTGTTTGTATGTTCTAATCTTTTCCATTGAGCCTAGGCCTATTTATTTTCCAGTACCATACTGATTTTTTCACTGAGGCTTTGTAAAATAGTTTCAGGTCAGGAATTGAGATACCTCCTGCCTTGCCTTTTTTGCCCAGAATTGCCTTTGCTATTCTAAGTCTCTTCTGTTCCCCTGCCTTGCCCTTTTTTCCCTGGATTGTGCTTTTGGTATTCTAAGTCTTTCCTGCTCTCATATGAATTTTAGGGTCAGTTTTACTTCTTCTGCAAGGATACTGCTTGTATTTGAAGTTTGATTTTGTGAAAGCTAAATAACAGTTTTACAGGTATGGTTACCTCTTTGACTAAAGTAGTTCTATGTGTTCAGAAACGGGATAACTTTCCAATTCTAGATATTCAATTTTATCTCCCTTATTAGAGTGTTGTTTATTATATGGAGATCATTCACTTTCTTGTTGAGATTAATTTCTGGGTGTTTCATTTCTTGATGCCATGTAGAAAGGTACTACTTTTCTAATTTGTCTATTGGTATTCATGAATGCTGTTGATCTTTGAGTGTTGTGTCTATGTCCTGGTACTCCTATGAATGTAATTGCTACTTTTATGGACCTATTGCTGGAATTGAAGGAATCTTCTGTGTAGTGTGTGACGTCCTCAGTAAATAATGATACATTAACTTCTTTTCTTACCCACATCCTGTTTATTTCTGTCTCATGCCGTTGTTTTGCCTAATGGTTCAATATGTTTCAGTATCGAAGGAGCCTGGAGATAGTGAACATGAGTTCCTCATGTTTAGGGAAAACTTTCAGCTAAGGTATGATGTTGACTGTTGGTTTGTGACTGATAGTTTTCCAAGTTGAGATAACTATATTGTGTACCTGTATTTTCAAGGCTTTTAAAAATAAACCTTATAAATGTGTATTACACTTTTTGAAAGTTTTTTTCTGAATTGATTGAGAAGATCATGTGATTTCTCTCCTTAATTTTATTTATGTGATGTGTTTCCCTTATTGATTTGCATATGCTGAACCATTTCTCCATCCTTGCAATGAATTTTATTTCATCATGGAGTATAAGCTTACTGATTTGCTGCATTCTGTTTGCCAGTATTTTATTCAGGATCACTGCATCTGTGTTCATGTGAAAGAGATTGTCCTGTAATGCTTGTTTTTGTTGGGTCCTTTTCTGGTTTTTGAATGAGGTTAAATCTAGGTATTCCCTTTCAATTCATTGAAGTGTCTGAGGGGTGTTGGAACTAGATCTTTTGTATTGTTCTTATTCAACTTGACTGAGTCTTCTTTCTTGAACTGTGGTTATATATGTGAATTTACCCACTTTTTTTGAATTCCTATTTTATTAAAATAGAGGTCTTGAAAACATTCACAAGTGATCCTGTAGCTGTGGGCAAAAACAATTGTGATTTTACCTTTTACATTTCTATTGGCATACATTTGGGAAAAATTTCTTTATTTTGTTAAAAATGGCTTAGAGTTTGTCTAGTTTGTTGAACCTTTCAAAGAATCTGTTCTTTGATTCGTTCAGAGTTCCTAGTGAATTTTGTTTTGTTTTCATTGATTTCTGATCTTTAGAGTTGTTCTCCTGGTACTAGTTTTGGGACTGGTTTATTATTTTTAAAGAGTCTACCGTGCATCATTAGGTTATTTATTTGGGCTTGCTCTATTTTCCTGATGATAGAATTCATGTATAAACTCTTTTCTTTGTCATGCTTTCATAGTGTACCATGCATTGTAGTATGTTGGCATTATCACTGGATTGCAGGAATTGTCTAATTTCTTAAGTAATTCATCTCTGGTACATTGATTATTCAAGAAGGTGCTGTTTAATTTCCATATGTTTACATAATTTCTGGGCTTTCTTTAGCCTCAGTTTTCTAGTTATTTTGCATTGTATATGTCTGATAAATACACTAGGTAGATTAAATTCCTTTCCATTTACTTAAGCATGCTTAATTTGCTAGTATGTGATCCGTTTTAGAGAAGCTTCAGTATGCTGCTGGGAAGAAAGTGTATTCTATTTATTTTGAGTGGACTACTCTGTAGAAAGTTTTCTGGCATCCTAACAGGGCGTATCTTTTATGCCATGTGTGCTTTCTTTTGATTTTCACTTCTTTCAGTCATTCTCAGTTAGTCTTCATTACATCATCTATGAATTGTTCTATCCTTAATGTTCTCTTTATTAAAGGAGCTGAGCTTTAAGCTGATCTTTCACAGCTTCACTGTCTTCTAGTTCTGAAATTCTAGCCTCACATTGGTGACTTCTGTGCCCATATTTTCACTATGGTTTTTAAACTCTTACATTTCTGCTTGAAAGCTTTTCTGGCCTCCAGTCTTTAGTAAACTGCTTTTTATGGTTTATATCTTTTTTCTTTTAGCTCATCTAGGGCTTTGTTACGGTCTTCTGAATGTACCTGCATCTTTGTGGTTATGATTCCAATTGTCTTATAAGTGGTATCTTCTTTGATCCTGCTGAGCCCTTTGTAGTGTTTTGTAATCTTCTCTGCTATCCTTTTGAGTGTTTATCTTTAGTTGTTATGCTCCTCTGTACTTACCGCCCTGGATAGATTTTGAGTGTATCAGGAGTTCTGAGAGGCATTTTGTTTCAAGTTTCTGTTGTTTTTATGTATGCTTAGATTTGTAGATAATTTATCATCTGAAGACTTTCCTGCTATTATAGAGAACTCATTAGTTTCTACTCAGTGACACATTTTGGAGTGACAATTACCATATTTACCACAATCCAAAGGTTTGATTGCCTCAGTTAATTTTCAAGGGGAAGATTCTGTATAGTAAGGTCGGGAATGAAGTTCTCTGGAATTTGCCTCTAGTACTTTTTTAAAAATTTATTTACAGAAAAATGAAGTAAACAAGTAAACAAGTAAACAAGACAAAAGAGAAAAAAGTAGAATCAATGCAGAGTTTCAACGAATAATATAAACAATCAGAAGATAGCAGTTGATACGTTACATGTTATAATCTTAGAAATAGCTATTCAAGTTACAAAATCAAAGCATAAAATGTGGACACTCAAGCATTGACAGTGTGCACCATACTGTTCAGTGATATAATGGACAACCAGGGCATCTATCCTACACACCTGAACATCTATATAGTTATATCATTTAGAACACTTTCCTTTCATTTTAACAATTTCTGTTTTGTACTTTGGATCTTTTATCTTTTATCTTTCAGGTTTTATAGTTTTCTTTTTTTTACATTAAGAGAGAATGTGATATTTAAAAATGTGGGACTTACTTCCCTTCTGAGAATAGTCTCAAGTTGCCACCGTTTTCCTTTAAAGATCTCAAGATTATCCTTCTATACAGCTGAGTAGTATTCCATTGTATAAAAATACCACATCTTTTTCATCCATTCTGTGTTTGATGGGCATTGTGTTGGTTTCCCAGGTTTAACTATTACAAATGTTGTTGCTATAAACATAGGTGCACATATATCAGGTGTGGCATGAGCTTTTCAGTTTTTCTGGGAAAATACCCAGGATCCGAATAGCTGGGTTGAATGGAACCTCTAATCCCAGTTTGCTAAGGAATCTTCCTATTGTTTTACATAGTGGCTACACCAGTCTACACTCCCATCAGCAATGTGGAAGTGTTCCTTTTCACCCAGTGCCCTGCCAACATTTTACCCAGTGCCTTGCCAACATTTGTTATCAGTTGTTTGCTTGATGGAAGCCATTCTTTCCAGAGTGAGATGTAATCTTAGTGCTATTTTGAATTGCATTTCTGGAATGACCAGTGATGGTGAACACTTGTTCATGCATTTACTTGCCATTTGTATATCTCCATCTGTGAAATGTGTGATCATCACAGATGCTCTTTTTTAAAAAAGGGCTTTGAATTTGGGGTCTTGATGTTTTTCAATTCTTTATATACTCTGGATATAAGTCCACTGTGTAAAGGATTGTAGGTTAAAATTCTTTCACATTCTCTGGACTTTCTTTTCACGTTGTTGGTGATTTCTTTTTAAGTCCAAAAGCTATTTAATTAGACATGATCCCAGTTGTTGATTCTTTGAAGTATTTCTCCTGCGGTTTTAATTTTGTTCATGTATTCCCAGACATCTTGGCCTGGCTGGTCCTTGCCCCCTCCTTTTAGGAACTCGGTATGGCAATCTCATTTTCAAGATGATTTAGCAAGAGTGATGCTGCTTGATAAACATTTGGACTTCAGGGAACTCTCACTGGGTCTGAGTTCCATCTGTGAATGGAAACTAAATAGTGATATCTGAGGCTCCTCCTCATCTGCACTCTCGGGTCCCTCAGGGACTGTGTTCTGTGGGTGACACTAGGTGAGTTACTTAGGTGATACTAAGAGCTGGGCTCTTAGTACTGGATTGATGACAGAGAAAGACATTCAGTCACCCTTGTCGAGTGGCCCATTCTTGCCCTGCCTTTGAAGGCTCCAATAGAAGATCTTCCCTTTGCAAATCTTCCCTCCCCTGGAGGCCTAGGATTGCAGGATAGGAGGGAATCCAGACACAGAACTAGACTCAGCAAGGGCAAGTGGCTCTGCCCTTCTTGCCTCCTGGACTGTGCTTTCCCTTGTGTGCAGGAATCCCCCCACCTCACCCTTCAATCTTGAATTTTCTATGTATTTTGTTTCTTCTGTAAACATTTCTCATGTAGTGATAATTCATGATCCATTTTGAAGGACCTGAGGTACTTGTTTAAATAATAGGGAAAAAAAACCCATAAAACTAGGTCTTTGTTGCAGGAGAATCTCAAGTTACCCCTGTCTCTATAATCGGATAATTCTGGAGGTTCTCAGGGATGTCTCATGTTTAGGGCAGGCAGAAGAGTTGAGATATGGTTCAGATTCTCAGTAGGCAGAAATCATTTTTACTTTATATTTTTTATTAGGTCATATTTACAGCACATGGTGATTGCATTCATTGTGGGGACTCGGTGCATGTACACAGCCAATCTCTGCTCCTCCCCTCTCCTCTCCTCCTCCTCCCTTTGTCTCTGTCGTCTTCCCTTTTGCAAAAGTTCTTTCTCCTATTTCCTATTCTCCACCTTTTACTTAACTCTCGGTTCATGTGAGGCTGCAGCAGAGAAGCCATAGCAGACTTAGCAAAGATGCTGTATCCAAAAGTCACTGAGAGTTTATTTTATTTATCAATAAACGTTGCAGTTGCTCAAACATCAGTCTGGGTTGTGAGAGGTCAACAACAGTGTTTGTGGTGGATTTTATTGTAACTTTGTCCTCAAGCTTTGGTAGATTGACATCTTGACAGCTGTTACTTGTTTATCACAGTGCTTTAATTTGTAAATAAAGATAAGGTTAAAACCTAAAAGTTCTATAAATGCTAGTCAGGAAAATTTCTTCTCAACTTGTGTTTTTTTCCCTTGGGAAAGTGCTGAATTTAACCAGACATTTGGATACTTTACCAGGCTCTCCAGTTACTTATGACATGCTTCCCTACTGTATTTCTAATCAGTAGTTCTACTGATTAAAAATAAATTTGAGATTAGATGTCGGCAGGTGCATGGTGGTGATTGCTAACCTCATGAGAGTATTTTGTCTTCTTCACTGGTAAACTTTTTTCCTTCCATGAAATTCACAGCCCTAAGAAAGGTAAAGCAATGTCTTTTTTGTATTTCATATTTCTCACAACTTATGTCATTCAGTCCCGTGTTGGAGTTGCAGGTGGTGTGGGCGGAATGCAGGTGTTTGGATCACTATCTACAACTCCCCCTGAAGTCCTGCCAATGGGAATGGGTGGGAAGAAGCCAGGGTCAGGGTTTTTAACAGATTGGTCTCTCCCTCACTCAAACCACCCCTGCAGAAATATATATCTAGGAACCCTATTTTTAAAGATGAACGAAAATCCTTGCAAAAACATGCTTTTCTTCAGCTCACATTCTCCTAGAATTAGAGATTTATATTATTTCTAGCATTTTTCTGTGCTCACCATTACTCTCAGTTATATGTATTTTATATTTAATTTAATTTAATTATTTTTGTCTTTTTGAGACAGAGTCGCCTTATACAGTTCAGGTAGCTTGAGCTTCGTTTGTAGCCTAGGCTAGTCTTGAACTCCCAAGATTTCTCTTGCTTCTGCCTTTTGAGTGCTGGGATTACAGACATGCATCACCACACCCAGCTGTATGTATGCATTTTAGACATTTTACAACTGTCATCTTTAGGGGTGACTTTGCAAAATGATAAAATGAATGGTAGATCAACAGGAGAGGGATTTCCTATAAAGTGATAAAAGGTACTATATTTAAAACATATTTAATCATGTCCCCTGAGAGCAAAGACTCTTTTACTTCTCTTCATCTCTCCTGTCCTCTGTGTCTCCCTGCATTTGCCAGGACTTAGGGTTAGGGTTAGGCTAGTGTTAGCGTTACGGGTTAGGTCAGGGTCAAAGTCAGTGTCAGGGTCCGGTTGGGTTAGACAGACCTGTGGGAGGGTGTGGGGTGGACGTCCCTGTTGTTCTTATGTTTTCAGGAAGAGTTGAGCCTCTCCCTTCCACTTCAGTCTTGCTTTTGTTCTCCACCAAAGTGAGAGTGTTTTCTCTTTCCTCACTGAGGGAAATTTCACCAGAAATTCCTGTTCTGTTTCAAGTGATGTGTTTTCTGCCCTGGTTCCTGTGATTGTGATATGTTTCTTCTGTGAACTTTTGATGGGATGGTTTGCAGTGTTGATAGAGTGCTCTACTATATTTGAACCCACACTTCAGCCTTGATTATGGTTATCCAAGCTCTCTGCGCTCTCTGTGCGAGGAGAGTCCTGCCCAGTACTACCCCTGTTCACTCCCTGCACCCCTGCTAGGTCAGCCTATTTCTGCCGTGGGGCCTTTACATATGCACTCCCTCCCTGGAACATTGTCTGTAGCTCTTTCCTGACTAGTGTGAATGCTTGCCTTAGTAAACATGGAAATTAAATCTAAAGCACAAATTTACAGAAAAATGTTTTAATCAGGATGTTAGGGATAAGGCAGGAAAGGCATCCAGCTTAAGAAGTTGAGGGGGCACAGTTGATAACTGGGGTGCAGACTGGCCTGCCCTCCCAGGTTGGCAGCTATGGGTCAGGATTGGCTGGTGGCCAGTGATGTCTGGTCTGGTGGCTTTGGAACCCTGGCTGATGGTTTTATTTCCAGGAAAGAGTTATCTCTGTCTGTTGGGGTCCCAGTCTGCAGGGTTCCACCGTTTCTGGAATCCAGGTGTCTGGAGAATTGGGACAGTGACTTGTGGCCCCTGGGGCAGCTGGATGTCCCCATGAAACTCTTATCTTGGTGTCGTCAGTCTCAAAGCTCGAGGGAGGCTGTTCGTTCAGGGCTGATCAATCCTGGATGGAGCTCCCAGGCAGACACTGCCTGCTGGTCCACAGAGCTCTGTGCCGGGCAAAGACATGATGGGACCCAGGGTTACAGAGACAGAGGATGAAGACCAGAGGTCGAGCTGTGTGATGCATTCCTCACTCTCCCAAGGGAACTGGTGGTTATTAGGAAGAAAGACTTCTTAGGCTCTGATGATTGCAGAAGGAAACACACATGGTGCGTTTTAGTGAGTGGCAGGCTAGTGCCCAGATGCCTGTCCCTGGGCCCCCTGAGATTCCTTCAATGCCGGGACTGCAAAGCTAGACGTTTCCCCCTTCGGGTCTCAGCGGCACCCTCAGAGGTGCTGGGCGCTCCAGGGCTTCTGATCTCATGTGTGACCCTCAACCAGCCCAATCTCTGCTGCTGAGGAGGCCCCTGTGCCTTCCTGGGGAGACTCAGCACCACGGACAGCGCACACCATGTGCCTGACTTAAGTAAATTGAAGACTGAAATATAACCATAAGAAAGGTCCAGGAAACTCACCCAAGTGGATCGCTAAGAATGGTTTTCCAGTTTAAACAGTGTCTTTTCTTCCCCAGGGATAGTTCCCGCTTTGGAGGAGGGGTGAGTCCTGGCCCTGTAGTAGCAGGCAGTTTGCTTTAGGGTTCCCAGAACCTGAGGCGGGGTAGGAGGAAGCTGAACCTGAGCAATCCCATTTGCTTGGGGTTTTTCTAGGTTCCAAATCACTGCTGCCTACAGGATGGTGGACAGCCTGGATTTCTTAGTGGAGATACAGGACCTAGCGGAGGACACTTAGGAGACAGCGGAGAAAGCCAAGCGCTTGCTGGAGCTCTGGAAGGAAAGTGCCCAGTCTTCAGGTAAGTGACTGGCTTATGCCTCCCTCTGCACCGTGGCACCTGGGGAGCACAAGGGAGAAGGTCCGGGGCCTTGGAGGCACGGGGCTGGCCCACTCAGGTCTGTGCAGGACATTTGTGACTGGGCCTTGGTACTTTACCTCCAGGAAGCTGACTCAGTGAAAGAGCCATCTGAACTGGAATGCTTTGTCTGGCCCAAGGCCATGCCCCTTCCCCTCCATGGTGACCCCACTTCCAGAGGCCTGGAGTGGGAGCAGCCTGCCATGACGTGGCATGCCATGACATGCCAGTGTGTGCAGCATGCGGGGGTTTGGAAGTCACGTGAGGTACACTGCCTGCCTGGTAAACAAGGAGTGCCAGTGCCAGTGCTGGTGTGAGTGCAAAGCCAAGGTAGGGGATGGCCTGCCGGCCTTTCAACTAATCTTGGGAGAGTCTCTGGGTGGGATAGGGGTTACTGAATAAAATGCTTTCCATTCTGTGGCTTTTCTTTTTCTCTCCATTGGTGGTTTATTTTGAGGTGCAAAAACTTTCAATAATTTAAAATGCCAGTTGATTCTTTGAAGTGTTTCCTGTGCAGTTTGCATTTTGTTCATGTATTTTCTGCCTACCCCTGTGTCTCCAAGATTTCTACCAGTAGATTTAGTGTTTGTCTTTTAATATGTAGGTCTTTGCTCCAATTTTACTTTAGTTTAGTGCACGGCGTTAGGCATGGGTGTAGTTTCAGTTGTTGGCATGTGAAAAGCCAATTTTTCCAACAACATCTATTAAAGAAGCTATCCGTTTTCCAGTCGACATATTTAGCCCCGTGGTCAAATATTAGGTGGCTGAGTGTCTTTGTAGTTGTATTTGTATATTCGAATGTTTTCCATTGATCCTAGGCCTATTTCTTTTCCAGTACCATGCTGATTTTATCACTGAGGTTTTGTAATATAGTTTCAGGTCAGGAATTGAGATACCTCCTGCCTTGCCTTTTTTGCCCAGAATTGCCTTTACTATTCTAGGTCTCTTCCGTTCTCCTGCCTCGCCCTTCTTTTCCTGGATTGTGCTTTTGGTATTCTAAATCTTTCCTGCTCCCATATGAATTTTAGGGTCAGGTTTACTTCTTCTGTAAGGATACTGCTTGTATTTGAAGTTTGATTTTGTGAAAGCTAAATAACAGTTTTAAAAGTATGGTTACCTCTTTGACTAAAGTGGGTGTATGTGTTCAGAAACAGGATAAATTTTCAATGCTAGATATTCAATTTTATCTCTCTTATTAGAGTGTTGTTTATTATATGGAGATCATTCACTTTCAGGTTGAGATTAATTCCTATGTGTTTCATTTCTTGATGCCATGTAGAAAGGTACTACTTTTCTAATTTGTCTATTGGTATTCATGAATGCTGTTGATCTTTGAGTGTTGTGTCTATGTCCTGGTACTCCTCTGAATGTAATTGCTACTTTTATTGACCTATTGCTGGAGTTGAGGGAGTCTTCTGTGTAGTGGGTGATGTCCTCAGCAAATAATGATACATTAACTTCTTTTCTTATGCACATCCTGTTTATTTCTGTCTCATGCTGTTGCTTTGCCTAATGGTTCAATATGTTTCAATATGGAAGGAGACTGGAGATAGTAAACAAGGTTGAGTTCCTCATGTTCAGGGAAAACTTTCAGCTATAGTATGATGTTGACTGTTGGTTTGTGACTGATAGCTTTCCAGGTTGAGATAACTACATTGTGTAGCTGTATTTTCAAGGCTTTTAAAAATAAACCTTATAAGTGTGTATTAAACTTTTTGAAAGATTTTTTCTGAATTGAGATGATCATGTGATTTCTCTCTTTGCTTTTATTTATGTGATGTGTTTCCCTCATTGATTTGCATATGCTGAACCATTTCTCCATCTTTGGAATGAAATTTATTTCGTCATGGAGTATAAACTTACTGATTTGCTGCATTCTGTTAGCCAGTATTTTATTGAGGATCACTGGATCTGTGTTAATGTGAAAGAGATTGTCCTGTATTGCTTGTTTTGGTTGGGTCCTTTTCTGGTTTTTGAATCAGGTTAATGCTTAGTTCCAGGAATGAATCCGGGTATTCCCTTTCAAGTTCATTGAAGAGGCTTAGGAGTGTTGGAAGTAGATGTTTTCTATTGTTCTTATAAAACTTTACTGAGTGTTCTTTTTTGAACTGAGTTATATATATATATATATATATATATATATATATATATATATGAATTTACCCACTTTTTCTGAATTCCTAATTCATTAAAATAGAGGTCTTGAAAAGATTCACAACTGATCATGTAACTTTGGGCAGAAACGATTGTGATTTTACCTTTTACAGTTCTGTTAGCATACATTTGGGAAAAAGTTTCCTTATTTTGTTAAAAATGGCTTAGAGTTTGTTTAGTTTATTGAACCTTTCAAGGAATCTGTTCTTTGATTCCTTCACAGAGTACCTAGTCAATTTTGTTTTTATTTCATTAACTTCTGAAGTTTAGAGTTTTCTTCCTGGTCCTAGTTTTGGGACTGTTTTATAATTTTTTAAGAGTCTAACCATGCATCATTAGGTTTTTTATTTGGACTTACTCTATTTTCCTGATCGAGTGTTTTATAATTCATTAATCCCAGTCCTGGGATTCTCATCTTCAAGACCAAATCACCTTCCAAATGCTCCACTTCCTCATGCCAGCACAATGAGTGCTGGATTTCAATGTGATGAACTTGGGAGGGAGCACAAATATTTTCTTTTTTACCGTACTTTCTAAGCAGTGGGTGTGGATATTCAGCATTGTCAGTCATATTTGGCTAAATTTCAAAGTACATAAATATTAGTATAAAGTTTTCATGAGAAAAGCCGATATATAATATTTATACTTAGATCCTTTACTCATTAAAGATAGAAATCATTGACTTGGTACTTTGATTGTAATTTTGAATAAATTACTAAAGCCCATAGTCTGCTAGAAAAGTACATTTTTCCTAGTCGATAGCTTCTTGTTGAAATGCAAAATACAGTTACTGCTTAATAAGTGTCAGCTGTGAGGTGAGCTGTTGTAAAATTCATGTGCTTTTCCACTGTACAGGCTTCGGTCACAAGGAGCACATTGAATGGTAGGAAGGAACAACTTCAGGCTGAAGAAAGTGATAAGAAAAAATGGGATTTCCTGCAGTTGGCTGAATCATGGACTCCAAATGACAGTTTTGAAGAGCTCAAGAGAGAAGTTTTGTTCACTCATGTAAGATGATATGACTTGTTCTTTTTCACTTAACACACTGAAATTATAACTGTAACATATGGTTTAAAATTTTTTATCCTGTTGGCACATTTTAGATATACATATTGATAACATTTATCGTAGGTAGTACATATCTGTACATGATGTATCATCTTCTTTTTTTCTCATTTTCCCCTCCTCTCCTTTGAATCCCTCTTCTCTTCCTTATTTGCAAATCATTTTTTTCTTTTTTTGCTAGTCCACACAGACACATGAGGTAAAACTCTTTGTCCATTTAAGATAAGAGTTTTATTTTATTTATTTTTTGGCACCAGGGATCAAACTCACAGCCTTGCATTTACCAGGCAATGTCTTGAGCCACTGAGCTAAATTCCCAGCCCATGAATATAATTTTAAAGTAAATTATTTACTAAAGCAAATGAAACTCAAAGTCCAAAGTAAATGGAGGAGAAAAAAAATTTCCAACATTGTAAGGAAAGTAACTTTTTCGCAGCATATTTTCCCATCCCATAATTGAGCTGGCCTATTTAGGAGCCAGTCACCAGTGTCCCTGCCTCAGATTCAGTTAGTTTGTTTATATAACCTTCCTTTCTTGAACTCCTGGATATGCATCCATCTAAGTGGCCATGATAGCTTGTCTGCTGTAAAAAAAAAAAGTATCATGTATTTGGGAAGGAGAACTTCTCAGCAGAACAACTGAAATTTTAAAATACGCTTTAAATACCCATAGTTTGCATTTTTTATTAAATGCCAACATTGTATGAAATGCTTGCCTTGTTATAAGATAGAAAGTTCAAATAAAATTTGTTTTATGCATATGAAAAGTAATCTTTTTCTCCACTAGTCTAGTAGTTGAGTTGAATAAATGGTAACAGTGAAAAGAAATTGATCATGGGTCTAAATGAAGTCAAAATCTATTTTGTCCAAAATCCTTTTTTTCTGAATGTGCTGAAGGACTGGTATCTTAGGGCCAGTACATCATAAATTGGAGTATTTGTTCAATATGTACTGTAGAAAATCAAACTGCTCTATAAATTTTTTTGTATCAGGATCAAACTTACAATGTTGCGCTTGCCAGCAAGCACTTACACAACTGAGCTAAAACCCTGGCCCATGTCTAATTATTCCATAGTCAGCATAAAGGCTAATAATGGCAAGAAAGTATCCTATTTTGATAGAGACATAAACATTTAATAATCATAGCTTATATCACATTGTATTATTATTAGACTTTTTTTACCTTTACAATTCCAGTAATAATCAACATATATTATATTGGTAGTTATTCCATGTAGCCACTGTGATAAGCCCTTAATATTCATAACCTTATTTAACCTTCACAGCAACTCTAAAAGAAAGATACTGTTACCATGCCTCACCAAAGCTCAAAAAGTTTACATAATCTGCCCAAGTTCACACAACCAATAAATGACAAATCCGAAATTTGAACTCAGTACTTTCTGCTATCTTCTCTGCTCTCATACTCTTGCAAAATATACTGTATGCATTAGAGTTAGCTTGCCATGACCCCGCAGTAAATACTTGTGAAACATACAGATATTAAAACATTTCAGTTTTATTTAGCTTGTGCTTATTGGACATATACTTTTTACACAGAGCAAAGGTTATATAAATATATATTAAGATTATATGCAGTACAAATCAAAACCATGTGGAGATGCCATTTCATACCCACTAGGATGACTAAAATTTTAAAAAATAAGTATTGGTGATGATGTAAAGAAATGAGCAGTTATAGTGCGCTAGTAAGAGTGTAAAATACTGCAAAATACTTCATTTTGAAAAACAATGCTGACAACTCCTCTAAATGTTAAACATACACATAGTTACCATAAGACTTAGCAATTCTAATCCCAAGAGAACTGAAAGCATGTCCACACAAAAAGATGCACGTGAATATCATGGCGGTATGATTTATAATTGTCAAAAAATTAAACAATCCCAGCGTCCATAAATTAAAAGGATAAACAAAATGTGGCTTAACAACACAATGGAATATTCTTTGACCTTAAAAAGGATGCAAGGGCCTGAAAATACTAATGTTAGAGAAAGTAGCCCAAAACAAAGACTACATATTGAATGTTACCATTTATATGAATTGTCCAGAACAGGCATATCTGTAGAGAAATGTACTGGCTTCCAGGGGCTTAGGAGAGGTATGGATAAGAAATGGCCACCTAGTGAATATGAGGTTTCTGTTTGAAGGTATTAAAAATGTTCTATAATTAAACAATAGTGATGGTTGCACAACTCTGACTAAACCAAAAATCACTGAGTTGCACATTTGAAAAGGGTGAATTTATGGTAAATAAGTTATATCTCAAGACCTTTTTTTCTTAAGATTACATGCAAGCATATGAGAATGTAAAGATGAAGACTTTCCTTTGGAGCTACAGAGAATTGTTAACAACTTACTTTATAGTAATATGATAGATGTGAAAATTGAGATATATAAACCAGGCTCTTGGAATTCAGTACAGAATAAATAACCACTTGTGAGTATTTGGGGAACTTTCCCTTAGGAAAATCTGAGTTAGATTTTGAAGGATTAGTTCCAAATAGGTAGATCCTATTTCAAGCTGAAGGAATACCGATAGCGCCCTCGAAATCATGAACAGATACAATTTGTTCTAGGAATGGTAAATCCATATGAATGGGTAGATTTAGAGCACATAGGAGTGAGTCAAAGGAGAGTAAGCCTAAAACCTCTGCACTAACCAGATGGAGAGAAGCCCACATATGCCATGCCAAAAAGTGTGGCTTTATCCTGGAAGTAGTGTCATTGGAGGTTTTGAAAGAAGACAAATGACATTATGGGATTTGTTTCAAATATAATCCTAATGGCAGTGTGGGAAGAGTAGGTGGAGAGTTTCTTGGAGGCATGTAGTTTGAGGGAATAGATTATTTTTTCCCATCCACAGTTTCTGACTATTAGGAAGGGGATTTCCTGTCTTTCCACTGTCAGGCTTTCTCCTCCTCAATTTTTCAGGCCCAATTAACTTGGTAGAGCCACCAGGGTTCCAGGCAGTGGATCACAGTAACCTCCCCGCCCCAAGCTGTTCCTCTCCTCTGCCTGCTGCATCTTCCATGGGCGCAATCAAAGCCTACTTTTGCAGGCCCCTCCCCCTCCTTTTGTACCACATGATAGTGAGAAATTGGAGGACTCATTTTGGCCTTAAGTATTATCTGGGTTCTTTTCATATACCTTTGACCAAAATTTTACTTTGGTACCATTAGGCACTCACAGGACTGTTAACAAAGCCAGTTTCTTTTTATTTAGGAGGCTACACTAAATTTTAACCTAAGCCCCCAACAACAGAAGAATCAACAGAGTAAAAGAGAAAATTTACATCCATTTGAGAGGCAGGATCAATAAAATGAGAGCTAGGTGGAATTTTGTCTTATAGCAGCATGTGCAGAAAAAGTAGATTGAGCAAGGTATTGAAGGAAAATGCCTGAGCCAAAGGCATGCAGTTAAATAAGAAGAGGGCACTGAAGCAGTGGGAAGAGATCCAATTTAGGTCTAAAATTGGTCCTTAACGTGGTAAGCAGTGGAGACCCAAGAGACAGTGATAATAGGAGAGAAGTGGCTTAAGGATCGAGATAATGAGTTCACTTGGGAATCTCAACTGAGGTTGAGATGCCTCTGAACCTCACCTGATATCCCAGAGGAACTGGGAGGTCAGGCTTGGTGCTTAAAAGAGAGGCGGTACACAGGTATATACTAAATACCACTTATTTTAACATTGTGATTTACATTTTAGGGATTGATGTACTATTTAATATTTTGCTTTAAATTCTAGTTGTCTTTATCAGATGATACAGCTATTTTGGGAGATTTTTGCATGTGCTGATTTTGATGTCATTGTTTTGGTTGGTTGGTTGGTTTTTGGTAACTGGAATCTTACTCAGGATCTTGTGTTTGCTAAGGATGCACTGTGCTGGTATTTTATTTGTTTTTTGAGGTAGCGTCTTGTTATGGAGCCCAGGCAGGCCTTGAACTCACAACAATCCTCCTGCCTCAGTCTCCCAAGTGCAGGGATTACAAGCATGTGATACCATGCCTGGCCTTGATGTCATTGTTAAAAATATTTAATAACATTTTAATTTTACCATTTTATATTAACCAGAATGACATTTCATTTGATTTATTTTCTGTATGCCTGTAGGAAAAAGCTAGTTGCACCTAAAACTTGATCACTGTCAAAATTTTATTCAGCTACATGAGCATAGACATTTTACAGAAAATCTGGAGAAAAAAACAACACAGAGATTTCTTTTTTAAGGGCAATTTGAATACTTTTTAAAAATTAGATGATTAAAAAACCCTACTCAGTCACTCTATATCTTTTGGAAACAGACTGTTTTTGGCTTGTCTACAAATGTTAATGAGGGCTTTTTAGTTGTGGTTCCTATCATCAATCTGGTCTCCTTCAGGAGACCAGCGTGATGTTCCAATCATATATTTTTAAAGCAGAGCCTTGTTAATTCTTTTTGGAACAGGAATCGAATGGATTCAGTAATGGCTCCTACCAGAGTTGTCCTTTGATCAAAGTCTATTAAACCTGACATCAGTGCTTTGGTTGGTAGCCTGTGCTTTACTGGAATAGCACCAGGCTTTGAAATGGCTTATTATTTTTTAGGAGTTTTACTAGATTTCCTCTTCCTTTCCTTCAATTCTAATAACTAGCTTTTAATCCTATCATCATAGCCAAGGGATTTGTCTCCAAAGACCAGTAGTTTACCATGGTACAAAACAGCAAATAGATTTGGTCCTTGAGCTATTCAGATAAAAACATATTTTGCCATTTAAGCATTTTGCAATTTTTATTCCCAGCACTTTTCACCAAAGGCAGTATTTTTCTTTTGCTTTTCAAATATAGTATTGAACAAAAAATAGGAACACAATAATGAATGCCCACCATAAAACTGAAGACATAAATATGTTCATCTTTCCTCCACAGTCTTCATAACATGGG